CTCCTTTGGGGGCTCCTGGTGAGGAGGAGGCCACAAGGGGAGGTGGGGCTGGAGTGATGGCATGCATGCCCACAGAGAGGATTCTGTGTGCCACCTCTGGCATGCGTGCCATAGGTTCGCCACCACTGGATTAGAGGATATCTGTGGGGGGTATTTTGGGTGAGTGTTGGATCCTGTTGGTGTTTTGTAACTCTAGGAGCAGAAAGAATCTAATATGTTGCAACTGTGGAGCAATTGGGGCCTTTCAGATGGATGGAACTGTACCCTCCCACATTTGCAGCAGATGTTGCTCTTGGTTGTGTTGACTTGAAATTGAGTAGCTAATCTATTTTCTTCAGAGAAAAGTATTTTTAAATTGATTATCTGGTGGGACCAAGAAAAAGAGGCTTCTTTTTAGTGACTCATTCTCTGTAGAATATCATATCCCCAGAGATAAAATTGTAAAAGGTAATATTATTAGTTTTCCAAAAGGCTCTGGAAACATGGTTTTATCATTGAACTCAGGGACCACAGGTTGATATGTTGATTAATTGGCTTATTTGATTGTGTTTTTCATGGCCAAAACACTAGAATGTTGCCAGATGAAGATTGCCTCTCCTATAAACAATATGGTGAGATGTAGTTAGAGACTTGGTCATTGGTTGGGTCAACAAGGACTGTACTAAGTGTTGGAGAAAAAGCTTCAGAACTAGAGCTTTGGAGTTTGCTGGTTAAGTCTTCTATTTATTTATTTAGAAAGAAATTTATATGCTATAGTTTCATAAGAGTTTTCTTTTTTTAATACACAGCAAAAGGCTCATTAAGTTGATTTTAAAACAAACAGTTTAAGGGTTCAGGCTAATTTGAATTAAAGAAAGACCTTAATTAAAGGGTTCTCTCCCATGGGAAAAATATCTTTGCTTACATTATGAGCAGATAACAAGATCTTAAAGTCTGGTCACTAAAGGGCCAGATAGCCTTTTAAAAACAAATGTTTAAAACATGGGTCCAAAAAGTTCTTCAACTACTTATAATGGAAGCAAAATGAATCATTGGAAAAAGCCCTACTGAACAGAATTGAAATGGACTTTAAAAGCGGATTTAAAAACTGTTATAAGAAATAGATGGAAATATTGTATTTACAAGTGGAATTGTATTATGATTTACAAACTAAAAAGATATACAAGTAATAAACCCCACAAGATGGACTTTTTTATATTGAACAATAAGGGAGTTACTGGAACTACTTTACTCAACTGTAAAAGGATTTTGATGCAGATGACAAGTTCTTTGAGAAAAAAGACAAAGAGACTATCAGAAAGCAGGTGTTGGAACTTTATTTGTGGGATTTAAAGTTTGCTGGCAGATGAAAACCACAAAAACGGTTTATTTATTTTTAAAGTAATGGTTTGTTATCTCTGGTGATGCCAAATAGTTTTTTTTTTTTTAAAAAAAAATTGGGATTGGATGATAGCTATTTTAAATAGTTAATTGGGTGTAATGGATTAATAATTAGTTATTTTGTGCAGTGTTTAACTATTAATTGAAATGGGATTTTGATTATTTGAAGAGAGGGATTAGTGGGAATTTGTTTAAATGGAAATGGAAGTATAACTATTTCTTATTTCTGTTAACTTTTGCTGGACATATGCTGATTAATTAGAGTTGAAGATTTAAATATGGGTTTATAGAAAATGGGGTGAGGCTTGGAATGAAGAAGAGGTAGTGATAAGAATCTAATATTTTCCCACCTCTTTTTTGATATATTTTTGTAATAGGTTTATTCTTATTTTTTTATTTTATCCTTATTAAAATTATTGAAAAAATGGACATAGTAAATGCTAAATACTACATACTAAATTTGAAAATGACATCATGATAGATCTAGATGTAACCAGAGAAATATTTCAGTAGTATGTAGCTTTATGATGATGTGAGATTTGTTGAATGTAATTGTGAAGACTGCATCATTATTCCCCTGTGCGAAAAAAAAGACTGAATGAATTAATGAAAAAACTATGGCAAGATTATTTTATTAAATGTAATGTCAATGATGTTTGGCAGAATTTTGAGAAAAAAAAATACAAGTGAGCAAAATCTGGGAAATGCTGTCTGACTTTAAGCTAGGCAAGAATCACACAGGCCGAATTTTGTATTTCAGCAAACTATTCAGAAATATATTAAAGAAAAAAATATTTTTCCATGTTTGTTGATTTAGAGCAGCAGTTCTCAACCTGTGGGTCAGGACCCCATTTGGGGTCGAACGACCATTTCACGGGGGTCACCAAACAACGCAGTCTGCCATGTTTTCCCCCTTTTCCTTAGCTGTACTACTCCCTTTTATTCTATTGGCTTTTGAAAGCCAATAGAATAGACTCTCTTGAATAGAGTCTAATTCTATTGGCTTTCAAAAGCCAATAGAAATTGTCCAGGCTGTCTCTGTCCTGCTGAGCCCGCCAAAAGTCCCATTCTGCAAACGGTGCTGCAAGTTCTCTGCAGTGAAGGCGAGCTGTCTGGAAGTTTCCACCCCTCCCTGCTGAGCAACTACTAAAAATGTAAGGCCAGGGGTGGGAGGTGGGAGGCCGGCGGGCACAGGGAGGGTTGCTGGCACACGTGGGGCCCGGCGGGTGCCTTACCTCCTTTGGGCTGGGCCAGCTGGTAGCCCAGCCGGTGGTCGGTCTGCTCCGTCTCTGCCGCTTGCCAGCTACGCCTCAGCCGGCGCAGGGGGTGGCACCATGCATGCATGGCGCTCCCAGGCAGGGAAAGTCCTCAACTTACGACTGGTTGGATAGTCCGCGACTTACGACCGGTTGGGTAGTCCTCGACTTACGACTGATTGGGGGTCGCGGCATTAAAAAGGTTGAGAACCACTGATTTAGAGAAAGGTGTTAAAATTAATAGGCTTGAATAATGGAATGTTTTGCACTGAATGCAGTGAAAATGGTATATGATACAAAGAAAATTGAAAACTTTATTCAATATTGAACAAGGATTACAACCTGAAAGTGTGATATCTACATAGTTGTTTAATGTATTTGTAAGTATATCTATAAGGGATGCTTGTGTCATTAGAAATGTGTTGTTAGATAATCCAAATGTGTGCACATTAGAATTCAGATCATGTCATGTTGCTGAGAAATGACTTGCAACGCATATCATATACACTGTATAGTGCAATGACTATAGATCTGAAAATTAATTTTCAAAGATAATTATGTTTGATAGGGAAAATGGACTAGATCAGGGATGTCAAACTTGCCACGTCACAAGACATGCTGTGACGTATCATGACTTTTTCCCCATTGCCGGAGCTGGGGTGGATGCGGTTTCGACATGACGCATCTGGCCCATGGGCCGGTAGTTTGACACCCCTGGACTAGACTATTACAAGTAATACAGAAATGTTAGAAAACTAGAGCACATTTACTTTGGTAGAAAGTTTCCTAAAAATAGAATGAAAATGGATAGAGATTTTTAAGATGTACATTGGCTGCTAAAATTTAGTGGATAGCATATAGTTTGTTGTGAGACTCAAGACTGCCTGTCATGACTCTCTTTGGTATTCTTTTGTTTTCAAAAGAAATTTGAATCAGCAGTAAATTTGGGGTTTTAAGTAGAAAAACAAACAGGCATTTTTATTCTGAAATGGGTAGGAAGGAAGAAGTCTAGCATATAGGTGTTCCCAGATTCTAATCTATTTTATCCATGGTTATGCTGGGCCAGTCATTGCTTCTTAACAAAGCCAATTGTACAGGATTGTTGTTGAGTTAAAACTGATCAAGGGGAAGCCAGAAGAGGAGACATTATGATTATGATCTTGATATCAACTGAAAGAGAAGTAATGTAAATAATAGTGGTACTGATAACAAGCAATCACTCATGGAAACACTATACTATATATTCTAACTTTCTATTCACTTGAAAGCACTACATTTAGCTTTATTTGTCTCTTTTGGTATGACTACTTTCTAAAGGCTGTTAAGTATGAAACTGACAGTTCAAGCTCTAGCCTGTTTTCTTGGAAGTCAATTTTACTAGTTGTAATAGTATTTGATTTCTTGGATAGAGGAATGAACTTTCACTCTGTATTGTATGCTGAAGCAATAATTGCAAATATTGGGAAACAGCCTGTCTTTATAATTATAGACAGCGTGGCCCATGAGAGACAATAGGTTCAGTAGGAAACACCACCCATTTTAGAGAGTAATATTGTTCTTGGTTTGCAGGAGCTGAATTACTTCCATGGAAATAGAGATGTCAGGCCATAATCTTTAAGGAGGTTTTCAGAAAATTCTCAAGAACTATTTTATTTTTAAAAGGTCATCTGCTAGATTGTAGTCAGTAGTAATTAAGTGTCAGTCATCCATCTGGAAATAGGAATGACCTACAGCATTTTTACAGGTAGATGGGAATGTAGAATTCTTTTAATGAAATACCCAGAAGAGCCTTATCATAAATCCAAAGTATCTCAAGATGAATTTCCATGTGAGAATGCTTTTTTGTAAAGTTGCATTTTACACTCACACCCTGCATTTAATATCATAATTGTTACACATTTCATTTTCAACCTTCAGTTGTTTCTTTCCTGGATCCTCATATTGTTGGAAGAGAAGAGAGGCAATTCATTAGCATAACAAGAGATTTTTGTTTTTGCAATATGATTTTGAGAAGAAAAAAGACTTTTGCAGGAAATCCAAAATGAATTGGCAGCCAGTGGTTTCAAACCAGATATTCAGTGGTGGAATATCTTCTGGAATAAAGTTTCCATTTCACAAGACTAGATCCTGAGTTGTATGAATGGAACTTTCTTCACATGCTGCACTTTTCCTGTTCCCTTCTCCTTTGTATACCAAATACATCCCAAAAACCCCAATATTGGAGGTTGATGGACTTCCGAAATGTCATAGAAGGTAGCACACGTAGAGAGAGGATGCTAAATAATAGAAGATGAACTGACTAAAATACAAAATTTGGAACAAGAACCAAAATTTGACCAACTGTACAAATGAAGAATAGAGGAATTTATTTTGGATATTTTTTAATATGTTTATTTGTAAGACAGTTCCTTCCTATTTCTAATTGTATGCAATTGAAAATATCACAATACTGCATCCCACCCAGTACAATTATTTATTATTCACAACTGAAGGCACTATTATCAAATCAGCTAACACTAAAATAAATAGTTTAACAGCTAAAACTCAAAACGATTATTAAAATATAAACTATTAAAACTGATCCAATGAATACTCTGAATATTTTATAGACTTCTGCTGGCGTAAATTTTTATATGCATTTATCCTAAGACACATATTTTTGTATGTCTTTAATTATTTTTATCTGTGAACTTTTATATCAACATTTGTGGAAGTGTGAATATCAAAGAATAACTGTTCCATCAACTTTGAGAAGTGCAAATTTGACAGGTTTGTATAAAAATGGGCACTGAATAAAATTCTTAAGCATCTCTAGTGAAAACGTGCATATTCAATCCCATCTGCTTATAACTGGCACTCCCACTCTCACAATAAAAGACTATCTTTATTCACTTCTTTTTTCTTTCTTCCTCCTTCAAATTTGGACTAATCCTGACCCAGAGAAGGCAGCTTATTCAGGAGTTCACAACATAGGAAGCAAACAGTAGATTTATGTGTGACCTTGGCTAGGAGCATAGACAGTGAGGAAGCATCACCCTAATCTACCCAAACTACACTTGCTACAAATGCAAATTTATTGGAAGAACAAATGAAGGAAACTGGGAAAAGAGTTTCTATTCCATAATGCATCATGAAGATAAGAAGTTCACGGACAGTTGAAATTACTCAAGAAGAGGCAAGGAAATAAAGAGAATATCACAGAATAAAAAAACTGTCTTTGGCTGAGGAAAAGAGGTAGAAGCAAGAGAATCAGGCACACACATTACCAATGAAATTCAGGAACCAGTTCCAGGCTGCCCAGCTAGATGATGATCAACAGCCATTTGAGCAAATGATATCATGTATCTTTATAGAATACTCCATGGATTGAGTCTCCCTGAGAAGAAAAGATATATTATGGCAGTATGTGATTCCTTCGGAAAACAAACTGACGCAGCTCAATATAATATTTGAGGAGGTATATGGTCTTCTAGGTGCACACATAAAGGACATAATATTCAATATTATATATTATTATTCAACCCCATAACAACTATTCTTTCTTTTTGATTCATGGTGGAATGAATGATAGCCAGGAGGGATCTTTAAAGAATGATCCAAGACTATGAGGCCTTGAAAAGTAAGGTAAAGGAATAGCAGCACATGTAGTTTTTAATAATTCCTTGCAATTGAACATCTTGGTACAAGAAGAGAAAATTGGATGCTGGAAGCCAACAATTACACAAGTGTATACCAAGTCACCAAGAAAGATTTGTATTTTACAATAATGGCTTATATTATCTTTATTTTGGGAAGGGATGGGCTATAACAGGCATGTCAAACTGCCGGCCCACAGAACGGATGTGTCATGGTGAAACCGTGCCTACCCCATTGCTGGCAATGGGGAAAAAGTCCCGATATGTTGCGCGATGTCACGTGACGTTGTGAGTTTGACATGCCTGGGCTATAGCTTACAAAGAGTGAAGGAAATGTTTGGCAGGTGCTCTGTTGATCTCTTCAGGAGGACATTAAACTAAAACAAATGGAGGGCAGCACAAACCCGTAACCCAATAAATACCCAAGGACTAAGGACAAGAAAGGAGAATGCAGAGTGGGAAGTCCAGGAAGGGCAGAGTTTTAGGAAACTACAACAGAGAAGCTAGCTAGATGGTGCTCTTCAGAACGTCAACAGTCTCAACACACTAAAACATGCTCAAAAAATAAGTTAAGAAAACTAGAGATCCTACCTGAGGAAGAGCAACCTATTGTGATTGGCATCAGCAAAACACAGCGGACCATATTCATGACTGGTACATAGCACTGAAATGTTTCAGAAGGAAAAAAAATCCAACAAAAATCCAACAGAAAAATAAACTTGCACAGAAATTCAGGAATCAGAGGATAGAAATCCCACTGAAAGTATTCTGGTATTAATAAAAAGAGAGAGAACAAAAGTGTCTAGACAAGAGAAACTGTACCGATCATGCCTTACATCAACTGGCCATTCTTTCAAAAAGGCAAGGAATAATGAACATTTCATATTTCAGATTATCCTGATATCCTCTGGGAATTTACTTCTGCCAAGCACCAGAGGTCCAACAAATTCCTGTCTTCTCTTGCTGACAATTTCATTTCTCAAAAGATGGAGGAAAAAAGAAAAGGATCTGCTATGCTGGTCTTCATCAACAGAGAAGAATTGATGTAGAAGTGAAAGAGACTCATTCTTTGGAGAAAAATTATCAAATTATCCTTGCATTCATAATAAACAATAATAGACTGCATTGAATATTAATTGATAAGCAATTTTTAGGCATTCAAATTTGTAAAATCTGTCTGTTTAATATATGTACACCAAGAGGAACACTGGGGATCCTTCCACCCCAATATAATAAAAAGTGGAAAGCCCTTTTCAGTTGTAATGCCTCCTTTTAGAGCAGGCCAGTGAGACCCAGTGGTTCTATAAAGTGCTTAAGGCTTTATCCATGTCCATAGAGGAAGCTTAAAGTCCCCCCCCCCCTCTGTTATAGAAGCTTATTGAATGACTTTGGGCTGGTCACTGACCCTCAGTCAAACAGTCCCTCACAGGGCTGTAAGAACAAATTGGAAAATGAAAGGTACAATGCATTTTTTTTAAAAAAAGAGCTTGTTGTCAATATAAAATTACATCCAAAAGTAATAACAAAATTAAGATTAGATAATTAAGGAGTCTCAAAAAGAGATAACTTCTGATGTAAAATAAAAATAATATTGTATGTATAGCTGAGAGAAACTGGACATAGTAAGCTAATTTTCTATCATTCTTTGAAACGTTGAAGATACAAGGATGTTGGGATCCCAGTTACCGTATTTCATACAACAAAGTGGTTGCTTCCAAATTCTTATATGCTAAGCTATGCTTCCAATCATGTGACCACTGCTCTCATGATACACTGATCCTTTTGCTGAATGTTCAGAGCATGTGTTACTTAGCTGATTCTTCTCTTTAATTAAATTAGTTCTCCTTTCTCCTCCTTTATAAAACAAAGGCTATGCCTTTATTAACCATTCATCCAGACTGTACCTGTTTCTGGTGTCAGTTCTGTTTCTAAGCTTTCCTCTCTGTGCCCTTGCCTTGTTCTTTTTGTCTGATATTATGTTGAAGAAGTAGCTTTTCCTTCTGTTTCTGACATGGAGACCTGAGATGCTGTCTTCCCCAGTGTAAGAGCAATTTAATATTTTTCCAAGCTGACTGGATCAGGAAATCCTTAGTCAAGTCTGCATGCTGAAATCAATGGCTGTACTGCTGCTGCTTTCACACTGGGCCTTAACTTCAAAGCATCTGTATTTATCTGTTCCCATGGAGATAGGCACCCAAGCATTTTGCCATAACAAGCAGGAAGCACTAACAGGAGATGAACTGGTAAGGTGTAAGCTGTGACTCATACCTGGAAGGTATTTTTTGCTGGCTTTGTTTTCCAGGCTATTTCCATAAATACATAAATGTGTATAGATCCATGAATTAATTGTCATTTCCAGTTTCCTAGTTATACTGCTGCTTCTGGCCAAGGATTGGTGCTCTTTCTCTGATGAATAATAGTAGATACATTCCTAAAACTTCATAATTTCTCCAGGTTCTCCTATATTGGTGGTTTCTTTTAGGATATTTTGCAGAGACTTTTACTTAGAAGGCAGTGGCCTCTATTAACAGAGTTTATTGTGCAGCAAATGATGAAGAATCCAGTTAGCAGCTATCAAATGACATTGCAGAGGTAACTCAGACAAGCATGACAAACTTGGTGAAAAGGCAAACTCAAAACAAATGTGCCTACAGGAAGGTAAGGAAAACATACAGAGAGCAGAGCTTCTGGAATTCTTTGCAACCTCTTAATAGTAGCCTTGCCCTGGGGAATGTGACCCGGAGGTAGGTGCTTATAAACAGAGCCATCAACACTTTCCCAAGCCTAACTGCCTCTTCAATAGTGGTACACTGGGGGATTGTTTTCCAAGACTTTTTCTGAAAAACATTTGGTTAGAGCTCATGGTCTGGTCCATTTTAAAATATGATCTTTCTTTTACCAGCTTTTTCCCTCATTCTTCTTTTAATGAATTATCACCCTGATGGACAAATAGACAGCTGGATAAAGATTTGAGCTCTTTTTCATAACTTCTTTTCAATATGCCCATCGAGTTAAATATATATATATATATATATATATATATATATATATATATATATATATATATATATATATACATGTCTCTGTCCTTTCCTTGTCCCTTTGTTTATATTTCTGGTCAGTGCTTTTTTTGTTAAAAAAAAAAAAGTGCCAGAACTCACACACGTCATACAACGTGCCTTGCCTACTCTAGAAGGTTCCATCTAAAATCAGATAGATTCTTTTTCTCTAAATCTATGTCTGTCTGTCTGTCTGTCTGTCTGCCTATCTCCACCTGATGCATAAGGTAAGCCAATGATAGTGAACCTTTTAGAGACCGAGTGCCCAAACTGCAACCCCAAACCCACTTATGCATTGTCGGGTGCCGGGTGGGTGTGGCCCATTGGCTGGGTGTGGTCAGTTGGGTGGGCGTGGACCATTGGGTGAATGTGGCTGTGGTGGTAATGGCAGACTGGGTGGGGCTAAAAAGTTCAATCAATCAATTCCAACTTTGCAAGATCTTTTTTTCCCCCTGAGAAGTTGAAATTGACTCATTGATTGAACCTTTTTGATCTAAAGTGAAAAGGTTTTATCAAACCCAGCTGAAGGCCTAGGACTGGGGCGACAGCGTGTGTGCCCACAGAAAGGGCTCTGAGTGCCACCTCTGGCACCCGTGCCATAGGTTCGCCACCACTGAGGTAGGCAAAAGCAGCCCATAAAATCTGTCCTGTAAGGCACATAGAATCAGAACATTTGTAATGCTGAAGCGTAGAAGATTTATTTAAGCCTATACGCAAGAATCTGGTCAACAAAAGTTCAGCACTAAATTGGTGCCAGATAAAAGTCAACGGAATTCAGAAGATATTGGCCTTGTGGAAATGCAACAGCTCTAAACTGTTGACATGCTTAACTCTGCTCCCCAGCTTTGACTGCTTTTCTCATACAACTCCCATTATCTCTGTATGCAATTACACCACTATATACATTTATCCCACCCATAAAAGCATGCTGCTGCCTTCTCTCATCCCCTATATATCCCTCAAACTTTCATTCCTCATTGCCTTTCCACACTTTGTTGCCCCATTCTATCTCACCCTGTTCTCCCCAAATCTCCATAGCTGCTTCCTTTCAATATTCATCCCAATCAACACCTCCATATCTCTATATCTATCTCTTTATCATTTACCCATCCCCATTCTCCAGTCATTCATTTTCTCATCCTTCTTTCTTTCTACTCTGCCTCTTTGTGCTGTTCTCCCATCCTTAAATCCCATCCTTGCCTTCTGCTGTTTTTTTCTATCATAGGTTGGTTAGGTCTTCCTCTCTTCTTTTGTCTTTATTTCCTGTTCCTGAGCTCTGAAAAGTCAATCTGTCCTGGTTTTCACTGTCAGTGTTCAGACAATCAAATAACCTTTTGCTCTTAGGATAAATAAAATTTTTGTAATACTGATTATACACTGTTCAAAACTGATTACAGGGAAAAGTAATGGATAATTGTTTCACTGATAGTGAAACACTATTTTTTAAAATAGTTTTTCATATAGAGATGGTGATGAGGAAATTATGTCATGAAATGTTGGGTGGCTTTTGAAAAATGAGAATAAGGTATGTGTACACCAATTTCTTATTTTATTAACAGACAGCTAGTGGTGATCAGGTCTCACTTTCTCTCCAATCAATGACTGTAATTCTGATTGATTTGATTATGTACTTGTGAAAGAGACAGACCAATATTTAATTTTATATATGAGGTATACTATCTGAGAGGCCATTATGGAAATTAAGAGTAATGTTTTAAAAATTGATTTTACTTCATTAAATCTACCACTTCAGTAATCATATTTCACTGAGATTTCTACTTGAAATGAGAAAGGAACTAAAAGGAGAGGGTCTGAATGGGAGGAGAATTAATTCTATTTCAATTAATTAATCTACTAATCTTACTGCAGAAGATTTAAAAGGATATGATCTTAAATATTCATACTCTGTATGTTGATTTTCAGTTTTAAAATGTTTTTGCAGTGGTTGATTGCTTCACTGAAGGTCCTGATTTTCCATTCAAAGGCATAAGGAGTCCTCAGTCCAGTGGAAATTGCACAGTAGCTTCACATAAATTATATTATTATACATTAAATGGAAAAATGTTATAGAAAATATAAATAGATGTTTTTGTTGTGTGGTCCTCCACCTTATTAATGTATAATAAATGCAGTGTTATCTATAGTCATTCTCTCTCAATCTTTATTTGACTTAGACAATTCTTTATAACATAGCATTCATTTATTTAACTTTGTGACACTGTTCTCCTGAAATCTAATAAGTTAAAATAAAATATAACACATTAAATGCAAAACAGTTAATTATGTCTGTGTGACTATATCTTTCTGAGGAAAGACTTCAAAATTGAATTCCTCCTCTCAGAAAGCCCAATTTATTTTAAGGTGGGCCAAATTTTATTTGCTATAAACCTGCCTGACATTAAATTTAAATACCAAACCATACCTTTGATGGTATGGCTTCTGCTCCAGTTATGAGAGATGAAGTAATTCTATCTCCCCCCAAATTACCCTGGTGGGAACATCAAAATTCAAATAAATGTGCTATCAGATAGATGTCAACTTGGGCTACCATCTTGGTGCAACATGAGAGCCAGTTTGGTGTGGGGGTAAATCAGAAGTTTTTGAGTTTTGTCCCATCTTAGGCATGAAATCTGGTTGGGTGATTTGAGCCAGCCACTCTCAGCCCAACCCACCTCACAGGATAGTTGTTATGGGGAAAACAGAAGGAGGAAGGAGTGTGGCATATGTTCACTGCCTCGAGTTACTTATAAAGTTATAAAGGCAGGAGAACAAACTAATAAATAAACAAATAAATAAAATAAACTAACAATAAATTGCATTCATAAGCTGCATAAAAATTTAATCTGTTCATGCAATAGCTGTGGTTAAAATTAACATGACACAACATGCCATATATAGACAGCTATCATGCTTTTCTAAATGATACAATATTGCTAAAAGAATATGTGTTTTCAGCGTTAAATTAAACAAGATTCTTGCCTTTTAGTTAACACTGATTATCCAAAGTGTATTTCAGTCCTGAAGATTTTCTGTATTAGCCTTTATTAGGTGAGAATTTCTCTGAATCCTTTCTTGCTATGGTTCAGTATTATGAAGAAGATGATAGGCCATCATCTTTAAAGCAATCTAATCTATGGGACTTAATGATTTGCATAACGAAGAAAGTAATTTTGAAGTATGGCTGAGGCCCATTATATGCCTGATCAGTTTATGCAATAGTCTATGAAATAGAGCCATGTAAATTATAGGATAACCTTGACTGAACAACAGCCATGCATTTTCTTCAAATCTGTCTCCAAAATATCTCTGTGTATGTACTGTTATCCTGAGAGACAAAGATATTGCTTTACATAATAAAGATGGAAATAGGGGATAGCCAGTTCGCACCACTTCGGCAGAACCAATAGCTAATTTTTTGTTGCCCAGGCCCAGAATGGACTTCCGGAAGTGGCATCCACACAGAGAACTGGTTGTTCACATATTTGAATCCCACCACTGGAGGAAATCATTTTCCTTATGGAATGGTGTGTTTCAGAAATATCCCTCAAGCCTGAAGACAATAGTCCTTAACTTACAACAGTTCATTTATTGCTGTTTGAAGTAACTTACAGTAATTTTTTACACTTACAACCATTGCAGCATCCCCAGGGTCACATGATCAAAATTCAGATGTGTGGCAACTCACTCATATTTATGACGTTTGCAGTGTCCCGGGTCATGTGATAATCTTTTGCAACCTTCTGGCAAGCAAATTAAATGGGGAAGCCAGATTCACTTAACAATCATCTTACTAATTTAACAACTGCAGTGATTTACTTAACAACTGTGGCAAGAAAGGTCATAAAATGGGGCAACATCCACTTAACAACTGTGTCGCTTAGCAATAGAAATTTTGGGCTGATTTGTGATCATACATCGAGGACTGTCTGTGTTCACGTCTGAAAGGTTTCTTTGGTGGTTACATGGGTGCCCAAGAAAGTTCCAATAAAATTGTAAAAGACTTAATATCATGACACTGTGTACACACTTAAAAATTAAATCTCCTTGAAGTCAATGCATTCTGCGTTCATAT